CTCAAGAGGGTCTAGCCTCAGTCTCAGAATGATACACCAGGAAGGACCTCAGTAAGGAGCTCCCAGGTGTTGAGGGGCCTGGGCTCACCTCTGAAGGTGTGAAGCCTTATGGAGTCAATGAGGTGGCTGGAGACCAGAGAGGGCAAGGGCCTGGGCCTGGGTCACACAGCCAGTTACCCACATGTGACTGGGAAGAGACAAAGTGTTCTCTGCTAACTGGTTACCACCTCCTTTAATCTCTGACAAGTTTTCATAGAAATGGGTTTCCTGAGGGATGGCTGAGCCAGCAGTGACAACTCTCACAGTCTGATCTTTTTATCTGAACTCTGGAAGCTTTTCAGAGCCACCTTTTTCACCTTGCCTACCTCTGTGAAAACCATCTATCTCTCCGTCATACTAAGAACTGCCCAAAGCATTAAGCACTTTGAACAGAAGGGAAGATGAGACGGGATCAGCGGGCAGGAGCTGAAACCATCTGTGGATCACTCCAGCTGGCGGCTGTGCCTTGACTCTGCGACCCCACTTTCTGCTGGGGAGGACACTACTTTGGCCCCCACTTTGAGCGGTCAGACATTTAAGGCAGCAGGTAGGTGAGGGGCTACGTACAGGTCTAGAGCCCGCATGGCCCAGTCCTCTGTCTCACCAGGCACATCCTGTTTCATGCTTGACAAGTACAGATAAGCAAACCCCTCTATTCCTCAACTTGAAATTTCTTCTAAACGTGTCACCCATTTCGCACCTCCGTTATCTCGATAGAAACCTGACAGTTAGGTTAACTTCCCCGAGGCTTTTATTGCCCCTGCATAGTTTTAACCTGGACTATGATCCTGCATCCCACTGATTACCATTTTAAAGGTGGAAGAGTGGTTCACGCTCCGTGTGATGCGGATCGTGTGTCATGGGAGGAACCAAAGCTTGCTCTTCAGCACTGTGTTCATTGTTGAAGTTTAGAAGCTGAAATGCTTCACATGCCATGTTGGCGGCTCCGTCTTCATGCCTGGAATTTGTTCCCCACCATCATCCCCTTGCGCTGCCTCTGCCTCTGCAGTACACTGTGGCTCTGTAATGATTTTTCTGTCCACATCCTCTCTTTCCTCTACATCCACGTCGCCGTCATCATCTTCCTCTTCCTCGTGCTGCTCCTCTTCTACTTCTTCGGAATATTGACCTTCATGGGGACAAGACTGTCACCAGGAGAGATGGGCATAAAGACATCTTCTGTGTGAGGAGCTTCCTCACCCTTGGACCCCCTCCTGGCATAAACATGGTGATCTCCATCATCCTCAGTGGGGTGGGAGGTCCTGGGGAGTTCGTGGTCCCCTTGGCTGTGATCCTGGAGAGCTTCCAAGGGCTTCCGCATCCCCATCAGCATGTTTTGGGTTCCTCCACAAACCTGGCCATGGCTGGAGAGAAGGAGGAAGTGGTGGAGAGACTCCATCATGGCTCCTTACTCCCATCAGCTGGTCCCAGTATTGCCAGGGCTAGATGGATGAGCCAGCCTCTTAGCACGAAACCATTGCCCTCACTTTTGCGGTGAGTGAGGGAGACATGTCCAGGTTTCTGAACCTATTGAAATCTGGGGCACTTGGTTTTCCTTCCACAGTTGAAGAATGAATTTGATTGTGATGAGTGCTATCAAGGCAAAGTGCCAGGTAGAGCAAATTCTGATTGAGCCCCACTCCATGCTAGGCACTCTTCAGGCACATAACTTATATTAACTAAGTAAAATGTGCAACACCTCTTGGAATATATGCTGTTATTTTGTAGTTATTTTTTAATTGAAACAGATCATGCATAGAAAAAGCAATCCAAGTTCTAAGTCTGTGACTGTGAGCTATTACTGAGTGAACATATCCATGGAACTGTGCCCAGTTACCCACAGGTCAAGAAATAGGACATTATCCTCATTTTACAGATAAAGAAACTGAGGCACAGAGAGGTTAAGTAACCTGCCCAAGGTGAGGTAGCTAATAAGGGCCAGAGCCTGGTTTCTGCCTCAGGAGTTCTGTCTGGTGAGCTCAATTCTTTTTCCTACTGCCCATAGAAAAGGTGGAACTGGGAGAGCCTGACCCACTCAGGGTCAGGGAAAGCTTCTGAGAAGCCGAGGTTGGATCTGAGCTCAGGGGAGAACTGGAAGTTCATCAGAAAGGGAGAGGGAAGGCGAGCATTCCAGGCAGGGTGATCTGCCGAGAGGCGGGTCTGCTGTGGGGATTCAGGAGGGAGGCCACCTGGACAGCCTGTCACAGCCACAGCACACAGGCTCACCAGTCACTGGAAGGCAGCCATGGGGCTCACAAAAAGATTCTTCCTTCCACAAAAGGAGTCACAGCAGGCATCCCTAAATAGCTCGCTGCGAGGAAAACCCGCTTTGAGTTGGGAACATCACATTTCCATAGAGTGGGTTAGAGAAATAGGGCTTTCATGGGAAGGGGTGGCTCAGCCTGAGAATAACAGCTGGGAGGTGTAATAGTGAAACCATTCCACGGCCACAGCCATAGCTGGGCTACTCTGGGCAGCATCAGCACCCCCTCAGGGGCCGGGTGCTTGCTCAGGGTCACACAGCTGGTCGGAGGAGGCAGGATTTGAACTCTGCAGTCTGATGCGTCCACACCCCCATGCCTAACCACAGCACGCTGCAGCGCCCTCATCAGACAGGCCACCTCAGCCCTCTGGGCCATGACCACAGCCTCCCTTCCTTCCTGTTTTCCCACCCACTCACCTGCTGGCTGCTTATGTCTGGAGCCCCAGTGCAGCTGCAGTTTCCATTTACAGTCCAGATTAACCCACTGGACCTGGAGTCCTGCCCAGCTCCCACCATTAGAATCTATTTTGCCCCAGACTTACACTGTCATTTAATCTGGGCTTGAATACTAGACCTGTTGGGGAGCTCACTACCACCCAGGCTTGCTTTTTTCCAAGTTTGTAACTCTGGGGTCAGAAAATTCTTTCTTAAAGGGAGACCAGATCTTCCTCCCTGTCTGGTTCTGCCTGTTGGCTGAGCTACCTCCCAGGAGGCTGAGATAGTGGTCACAGATGTGACCTGAGGTGTCCAAAGACAGGTTTTCCTTGGTCCCTGTTTCTCCTGTAATCCTAACTGGTGGTGAACAGATCTGCTCAGGGCCTGTAGTAAGAAGGTGGCTGTTGTCATGGATCAGTTAGAACGTCCACTCTATCCTTCTCCCTTCCAGGCTGGAGTAAGTCTGGGGCCTGAGCATGTATCTCCGCCCTGCCCCACCCCCCACCTCGTGTTCTTCAGGTTTAAGCTCTAAGGACAGCTGCAAGAGATTCCAACCAGACGCCTTCAGGAGGCCTGGCTACCTTGCCCCATTCGGATGGATCAAAAGCTGTTTCACAGCCTTCATGGTGCTGATGCCTTGAGTCCATTGCAGGATCTCAAACTGTTCGCAGTCTTTTCTTACCTAATCTGTATCTCAGCACATGTGTATCTCTGTGCAGCCAGGAGCCCCAGGGCCTAGGGTTGTGAAGCCCAACACCTGCAGAGCCGTCGGCCCAGGCGTTGGCCAGGCACCAGCAGGGGGCTTCTGACTGCAGCTCCTCGGGTCCCGCCTCTGCCAGTACATCCTTCCTGCCCTTCACCACCTCTAAGACACTGGCCAAACTTCAGAGCCAGGCACTGAGGCTTTTCTAAGCCAATCTCCAACTGGCCTTTCTGCCTCAATACCTGCTATTTGTACCCAGGACTGTCATGATAGAATTATACCAAGGTTTCCACAATATAATTTCTGTAAAAAGTGCCTACCACAGAGTAAGCACTCAACAAATTATTGCTGTTTATTTTTCTGTGATAAAAGATTACACCTATGACCCTGGTTGACATTTTTGGTGCTTTTTAGCAAAAATAATAATAAGAAGTATTCCTAAGTGTCAACCAAGAAGGAGATGTCCTATGGAAAGCTTGTGGCACATAGCGAGGGCCTGGTCACTGTGAGGTCAGGTGGTTTGGGGTAGCCCTGGCCCTCTCAGCTCTGGGTGGTATGGAACACCGGACAGGCTCCCGCCTCTTCAGGGCCTGGCCACTTCCCCATTCTGGGTCTGGGACATAAGGGAGTGAGGCTGGAATAGTGGAAAGAGGAGACCGTGGTCCTGCATCGGCCTGGGCTGGGTCCAGCCCCACCTGAGGGCCTCCGGCTGCTCTGGGCCGTTCCGGAAAATGTGGCCTGTCTGGGGAGACTTTCTCATGCCCGTGGAATTGTTTGAGGACATGAAGATGCTGAGGCTGGAGCAAAAAAGCTCCAGCAGCATCCTCGCTTTTGGAGACTAGTGTGAAGGAGGAGCTGGACTGCCCAGAGCTCAGAGCATGGTGTGAGCACAGGTTGACACCTTCAGCTGAATAGTGACAGAGCTGCCCAGAAGTCGCAGGAGCTGCCTGGGAAACTGTGAGTCACCTGGTGCCGGAGGAATATGCAGCCGTGGGAGGGTGTGGATGGCATCCACCTGAAAATGGCCAAATCGGAGGATGCCGGAGGCTTCTCTGCATCAGAAGTTTTCAGGACTTTCTAAGCATGAATGTTCATGAACAGTAATTTTCAGATTGTTTGTAAATTCACAGTACTCCTTTTACAAAGTTCAGTTTACATAGATACTCTGAAGAACAACGTGATCCAGAGCTGCTGTGGGTGTGGGAGGAGGACCCAGGGCCCCACTACTCAGCCTCCCCACCTCCACAGCCCACAGATTGAAAGTGACTGTTCTAGAGCCCTGCAGGCCAGGGCTGGAGCAACTCCACCTGCTGTCTGCAGTGAAGGCGTCCCCTTCTCTGGCAGTTTCATTTCTCTGAACACGAGGGGCCCAGCTTCTGGCATCCTCCCCACCTCCCTAACTCCACTGTGCAGTCAGAAATGGGGTATCAGCTGCATTCGAGGGACCCGAGCTGGCTTCAGCCCAGGCTTGGTGCCTGTGTGCTGGCTCTTAGGCCTCTGCTTTTGGTCACCCAAAAGGCACTCCACAGGATCTCCGCCCATCATATCCAACTCTGTAGAAGGTTTGGTCCTAGCCTTTCTATTAGCTCTCAGTGAGATTACACATGCAAGCATCCACAGCCCTGTGAAAATGCCTGCTAGATTATCCGAACGATCATTAAGGTAGGGATTAGGGTGGTTTCCAGTTTCTAAAGGTGTTTTCTATTCTTGGAGCTGTGCTGGGCATCAGATCCCACTGCCATTTCCCAGCTGCTGCTGCTGGGAGCTGATGTTTTCCTAGTATAAAAAAAAAATCACAGTAGTAAAACCAAGGAAATGGTGAAAATGCCACTGCTAGGTAGCAAGTCTGCAAAATGGACAAGAGCTTGCCTCAGCAGTGGGAGTCCTTCTGGAAGGTAGAGAAGAAGGCATCCTTGACCCACTGTCCCCTCTTGTTTCTGTCGGGCCACTGCTGACCTCTCTCGAATCTAGGTCCCCTTTCCTCCTGCCCTCGCCTCTGCCCAGCTGGGCTCTCCTCTCCTGGCCCGCAGACCTCCCCACCCACACCATCCTCCACACTGCACCCAGCTGGGCAGCTTATAAAACAGGAGTCTCAGGTCTGACCCTGTGCACCCAGAAAGACCCAGACAAAGGCATTTCTTCTGCAGAAGCCACCTGCCACCCACCCTCACTGGGTCCTCCTCTCATCCTCCGTGGCACTGTGCTCATTGTCCGTATTACCATTTCCATCTCTTTGCTTTACGATCTTTAAGTGCCTGTTAGTCACACTTGAGACCAAGGTCAGGGTTTTATTTAGCTTTATATTTCTGGCCCTGGCCCAGTTCCAGGCTCAGAGCAGGCCTTAGGAAGTAGAGCTGAGAAAATTCACAGAGCACTGCCTGCAGCTCACGTTGCCGTTTAGAACAGAGATTGTGCTGGGGGCGCTGTGCCTGCATGCCGTGGAATTCCTGGCACAGCGGCCTGTCTCTGGAGGGTGCGCCCAATGCCCCCCAGCCTGAACGTTATGGTGTGATGTCATTTCTGCGGAAACCCGACAAAAGGAGAATCTGAGGTGTACCCAGAACCCAGAGTGAACTTTCCACATGACCCACACAGCCTCCCAGTTCACTTTCCGCCAGGGATGTGCCTCCTACCTCTTACCAACTGAGTATTTTTAAGAGAGACACAGCTCAGCAGGCTGCATCACCTGGCACCCGACCCTGTTCCCGCAGACATCCCTTCCTCTGTGAGTTTCACTCAAAGAGCGGTGTGTCACTGCGAACAAGTCAGCCAGCTCACCGTGGCTGGACCTCCCAGGGCACCGGACCTCTGGGAACTGGCCCCAAGCCTGGTTCGCGGATGCAGGCTGCCCGCCAGAGTGGGTCTCAGAGCCACAGCATGTGCACCCCACGTCACATCTTCCTCTTCCTCCGCATGACTGGCTACACCCAAGATGTGTGCCCCCTGGGAGGAAAGCATATTTGGCAACAAGATCATAATAAAATCAGAAATTCGGCAAACCTTTAAAATATCCAGACTTGGAAGAGTTGCAGGAGTTCTCTAAATATTAGTAATAGGTGCAAAAGTCATAATATAAATGTGGAATAGCTTAATACGTAGAATCTCAGACTGAGAAGGTAACTTGGAGGCCATTGTGTTCATCCCTTCATTTCAGAAAATAATGCAGCTTGGTGGAGAGAAAAGTCACGGGCTTGAAGGTCAGACATGCCCTGTTTACCAGCCACGTGACCTTGGGGAAGTTACTTTGAGCCAGAAGTTTAGCTCCAGGCTGGATCTGCCTCTTGCATTTTATTTGACTTACACAATGTTTTTTAAAAACCGGAATTGCACAGCAGTTAAGCACATGAACTTTGTAGCCAGGCGACCTGAGTTCAAAATCTGACTCCATTAACTAACTGGCTGTGTGACCTTGGGCAGGTTACTTAACCTCTCTGTGACTTTCTCCTGTGTAAATGGGAATCGTGACAGACCCGTCACATAGGGCTGTCATGTGATTGAATGAGGTAATACATGTAAAAGCATTTAAAATAGTGCTTGGCTCCCAGTGTAAGAGTTTGCTAATATTTTTAGTTTAGTTTTTTTTGTTGTTTTGTTTTGTTTTAATCTGGATTTGTGGTTTCCTTGCAAAAACTGGAAGATATAACAACTTCATGTGACATTTGGCGGGACAGGAATAGCCGCTGCCCCTTCAGAGAGGGACATGCCCTGCCTCCCAGGTCACTGCAATCCCCACCACCCCCCCTTCCTTCACCTCCTCTGCTTTGCTTGGTCATGTTGCCAGCCCACCCCCTCTAGTGCCCTGAGCCTCCACGTGGTCTTAGGAATAAATATATCCATTTATATTTACTGGAACAAATATGCTAAGCTAAATATATCCAAGTGAACTAAATATGTCCACTTTACAATGTTATGACCCGAATATACCAGCTAATCCACCCAAAGCCCTCTGTCGGTGTGCCAGACGTGTCCTGAGCACGTAGGCACCATCAGTTTCCTCCCACTAGAAGACCTCATAGCCTGTTCCTCTGGCCTCTGGGTGAACAGTGCGAGTGACGGGGAGCCCACTGCATGGCAGAGCAGCTTCCTTCCAACTTTGTTATATTCAGAGCTCAGGAACAACACCCTCCTCCATCACCTTGCCTGAAATGCCATGCGCTTTCTACCATAACCCCTCCTTGGCACCTAGAGCAGAGGAACGTGCCATGTCCTTTGGGAGCTCTGTGCCAAGTTCCTTTATGCTTGGCAGAAGCTGCGGGTCTGCTACAGCCTGAGCTGTCGTGTGCTGATGGTTCCCAGTCAGTCCAGCAGCTCAGTATCGCCAGCCCTGGGATTGCAGGAGAAGCTGCCGCGGGCAGGAGAGGCCATCACACCAGACCATCCTGTGCCGCACGTGGGGCACAGCAGTCAGCCCTGGTGCTTCACCACTTTTGAGCTGCCTTGTAACTTTGGGCAAGACACTCAGCCTCACTGTTTCTGTTTCCTTCTCTATTCGGTGAAGATTATAAGACCCTCCTGATCAAGGGGTTGTTTAAGGATCTTTTTCTTTTCCTTTGAGTCCATGAGACTTAGAGCCACAGCCTAAGAATGAAAAGAGCCATCTATGAAGATCCTGGTCTGGCCAGACCCCTCCCCATAGACTCTGTCATCCCCTGACCTAGGCATGGGGCAGAAGGCTGCTTCCAGGCAGGGGTCTGGAACCCCTGGTGACACAAAGATGGGTCAGGAGCTCCAGCCCCACCTTGTTGCCTGGCCTGGAAGTCACAGCCCTGAGCTTCAGGCAGTCAAGCTGTCAGATTTCAAGGTCCCTGGAGGCAGCTAAGATAAAAATCCACAGAAACAGTGATTCTTCTTTAAGAACAAACCCCATAGTTTTTCATGTTGACTGACACCCCCGGCTTGTGAGGGCAGCAGAAACCAGGTGGGCAGGGGGACTGGGAGAAATTACCCCACGAGTCAGCCCTGCCAGGCCCATCAGTAGTGGACTGTCTTGCAGCCTCAGAACAGGCAGGGACATCAGTCACTTGTTGCCCTGATAACAGGCAGCCTGTGGCACAGGCTTCCAAAGGGCTGCCTTGGGTGGAGGTGGGAAGAGACCATCAGACCAGGGAAGCAGGACTGTACCCCTGGGTCGCCCATCATGGTGTTCCGGTTTCCCACCCTGACACTTCCCCAGGCATTTCTCTGGGAGTTTACCCCAGTGCTGGCGGCCTTCAGGAAGGGCTGGGTGGGGAGCCATTCTTATTTGTCTGCAGTGTAACAGGTCCATGGGAGAAGAACGAAGCTAACAAAGCCCTGGTCAGCGTCATCTAAAAGTGTGCAGGAACAGGGTGCTAAGTGGTGACATTGCTGGCTGGTGGTCTTGGCCAAGTTGCATGAACCCATTGGGCCTTGGTTCCCTTTTCTATCAATGGGGACATTGGTGAAGGGGTTGGTGGGAGGATCGAGTGATGCCAGGCGGGTCTGCATCAGACACATGCTCTGCCGTGTGTCAGGTAATGAGGATTGGTTCCGAGGGAAAGAAAGTGACTTGCCCAAGGTGACCAGTGAGTTCCAACAAGAGCAGAACCGAGACCCAAGTGTCCTGCCCACACCTCCCTCTGAGCAGTCGCTCCTCTCAGAAAGTGGGCAGCGTTATCGGACCATCAAGGTTCTGAGGCACTGCCTATGTCCCACCTCCTTTGGGAGCCCAGCATTAAACTTGTGCTCAGGAGCTCCTGGAGTAGAAAAGGCGAGGCTAGAGTCTGATGATCGCAGGCTCAAGGAAAGAGAGCCTCGGCTGGTCTCTCTGATGCACAGCTAATGAATATTGATTGGGCATCTGCCGGGGATGCCCTGGCAAATGAGGTGGATGTGGTCCTCGCCCTCGCAGGGATAATGGGGGCTGTGCTTGTGAAAGGCCACTGAAGCACACACAGCCTGACACGTGCCCTGAAGCAGGAGCAGGTGACATCCCCAGGCTCCAGAGGACAGGACCTTTGTGCAAACCCTGGTAGAGTGGAGGAGCTGGTCACACAGGAGACGGGGTGGTGCTGGGGCAGGGACTTGGGGTCACAGGCGACCTTTGGCATGGCTGGAGGGGGAGTGCAGCAGGAAATGGGGGATCCATGGGAAACAGTGGGAGACGAGCTAGAGAGGTGGCCAGGGCAGATGGTGCCCTGGGCTTTCCATGCCAAGGAAAGGAGAAGGTCTTTGCTCTGATGTAGTGAGAAGCATGAAGTGGAGCCTCTGGGCTGGCAGGAGTGGCAGGACTGGACGGATGTGGAGGTAGCTCCTGCTGGCTGTTTCGTGAAGAAAGGAGGAAATGGTTTAGCAGAGGGGGTGGTGGCCAGGGCTCGTGGGGACAGAGAGGTGGCACCCTTGGAGCATGCACTGCCTGCAGCACTGATGGCTGTGGTGATGGATAGATTATAGAGCATGAAGGACATGGAGCCATCGAGGACGAAGCCCAGCCTGTAGGCCTGGCCAGCCACGTGGGTGCAAGTGCCGCTTACTGAGAGAGGCGGGGACCCAGGAGCAGACTTGGAGGGACTTGGAAGGCTGATTCCGGGCATGCAAGGTTTGAGGTGCCTGAAGACCACCAGAAGTGATATTCAGGGGCAGTTAGATGTACAGCAGAGCGTCAAAGCTCGAGAGAGAAGTGGCTGGGGGTCATCAGCAACCAGGTGGAGGGTCACCTGGGGAAGGTGTATGGTGAGGACAGCGCAGGTTGGAGCCTAACAGGGGCCACGTCGGTGTGAGAAAGAGTGGGCAAAGAAGGAGCCTGCAAAGGAGACACAGCAGGAGGAAATGGGCTCACTAGAGTCAGGCTCCTTGAGGGCTCCTCCCGGTCCTGGCCCTCAGGGAGCAGAGAAGCCACAGGTTCCAGGTGGTTGAACCAGGACTGCCCTCTTCCAAGTCCTGGGTCCTCGGCAGCCAGCCTCCTCAAGCTCTCTGGAGTGTGAGCCACCAGCCCCGCCGCCTCTAAACCTCTCCCCTTGGCTAAGCCACAGGCCTCTCCTGGTTCCCTGCTTCTCCGGCCTTTCTCTTTTTGACGGCAGGGTTTGGGGTGCCATTAGTTCTGCCCATCCTTGCATTTGGGTGCCACCCAGGCCTCGCCCTCAGCACCGCCCTCTTCTGTCTTGTGGGGTCATCCTCCTCACAAATCTACACGCCCCCTCTGAGTCCCACCAATTTCTAACTCGGATAGGAGGATGTTTCTTCTTGTCTTTCTCATGGGCATCTGATAGTCAATGGTTAAAAACTAGGATCCGCCATCACTTCCCTCCACACTTGGTTTCTCCTTCATTATAACCCCGCCCCATCCAGAGGGCAACCAAGGCCTATGGAGCCTGTGCTCAGAGGGCCTCTCAAATCCCTGTCCTAGAACACGGGCCTGGACCTGGATTCACTCTCTCCCCCTGCAGGCCCTTCCCATGGCCAGGCAATATCCTCTCTTGGAGACTTTCCATTTCTCTTTAAGGCTTTGATCAAGACCAAACTTAGCGTGGTGTTCAAGGCCATTGGTGATCCAGCCTGACTTTCCTACAGCCTCATCTACTCTCCCGAACCAAATACTCCAACACTCTGCCGTTTCTCTGGGGGTGCCTGCCTGAGTCCTCCCTTCTCGCCCATCCTCCACCTCTCCTGCCCTCCGTCTCGCCCTCCATCTCTCCTGTCCTCCCTGGTCTCACCCAACCCAGGCTCCTCCCACGTGCTCCCCAGCAGGCTGCACACTCTCCCTGATGCGACAAGGTGCTGTACGTGGTTGTGTATCCCTGCCCCAAGTCAAGGCACCACCCTTGAAGGCTCGGAGTCCTCTCTCTCCCTCCTTTCCTTCCTCTCTCTCTTTCCTCCCATTTGGAAAGACCATGTACTATTTAAGCTTGATGTAGAGGAGGAAGTGAAGGGGTCTGAGAGCAGCTGGAGCAGATGGACCCTGGCACCTGCTTCCAGTTGGCTGGCACAAAGGCACAGTAGACGACAGAGTGGCCATGGGTGCAGGGATCAGCAGGGTGAAGGCTGAGGCTAAAGGACACCATTGCTGCGGTGGCAGGAGGGGAGCAAGTGCCATGGACCCGACGAGCAGGCCAGGTGGAGGCTAGTGTCCAGGAGGTGGCAGAGCCTCCAGTGCAAAGAGGAGCCCAAGCCATCATCACTTTGTCTTCTCCTAGGTGGGAAAGCGGGTCCCATCTTAGCCATCTTCCCCAGCCACCAGGTCGCAGGGGCATGGGGGAACATGAGAATTAAGATCCAGGTGCGGGCAACTGGTTTTGGTCCTGGAGATCTGCTGTGTGAGGGTGAGCCACGGTCACTTTGAGGCAGATGCTTCGTGCTTGGCCACAGAGTGCCCTTCCTAAGAGAAAGGCGTCATTTCTGCGCACCGCCGCCACGGTCTTCAGTTCCTCCTCTCGGACACAAGGTGGTGCGTGTCCGATCCCGCAGAAAGGCGTCCCCACGGGGGATGCAGACAAAACTGGCTGGTCAGGGTGGCCACAGTGGAGAAAGGGCAGTTTTAGACTCCTGGACGGCATCAGTGGACAGCAGTCCATGCGTGAGGTGAGCGTAAGGGTGTGTGTGCAGGAGAGTGTGAGCATGAGCATGGAGGTCTGACTATGCAACTGAGTGTAAGTGTGTGGTGTGTGTGCATGGGTGTGAGCATGTGGCCGGGACTGTGATCATGTTAGGGTGGGGGTGTGTGGTGCATGTCCGTGTGTAATTGTTGTCCTGTGGGGGG